GGGGTACGTTTTGGCACCTATTGGAACGCATTAAACTAAGTTTAATGCGTTCCAATAGGCTTTTCCTGCCCCGTACAGCGATGTTTTCGCATAGTGAAGGTTAATCCGGAACGGATTAACCTCGCTATGCGGGGCACCACTGTACTTTATTATGATTTTTTGAGGGGACGCCGACATAATCATTTTCTATTTCTACGTGGCAAGTTGCTAGCATCTGAGGACACTGTGGACGGAGGAGTTTTAAAAAATGAAATTAAATGTCGGACAATGGAGTGAAGGAAACTGCATCCGGATTATCTCATCATTTGCAGCTCCAAACAAGGGAAACGTATGACCTACAGTAGGATCCCCAGATCCAAAATGGATCGGTCCCAAACCCACTCCACGAATGCTGAAAAAACACGGATTATAGCAAACACTATTATAATAGCGAACGCGATACACAGCATGGTATCTGGGTCTCTCTAGTGGCCAGTTCTGGTAACTTCCGTATTAGAAATATATATTTTGGGTATTCTTTTTTTAATATTTTCAGACTGGTAACTTCATTATTAGAAATATATATTTTTTGGGGATTGTTCTTTTAATATTTTTAATATTGTCAGACTGATACCGATCCCGTGGATAAGGCAGTCCTACCTGTATTTTTAATTGCACACCCTTACAATCATCACACGGTCTGAGGGACTGAAAAGGACTTTTCTTGACTGGGGTGACTGTCAATCAATCCAGCACTAACCAATTATTCCCTCCTGGCCTGACTTCACAGAGAGCCCCGCCTCCCTGCCGAGTGTTTTCTTTCCCTCTCTTTAGTCTGTTGAAGTCACTTCGCTTGTTTGCTGTTGATCTGTTCACAACTGTAAGTAGTGGAACTTTTTTTATTCTTTCTCTTACAAATGTCTCAGAGTAAGTTACTGAGACTTGAAGTGCCAGTTAATGAGAAAGCGGGGGGGGGACCTATCTGGGGAACTTGAAGCTATTCTACTCTGTGGATCTCTGCACTTCTACTCTGCACTTACCCGTGAGGTAGGTATTATGGGACGAATTAATGAAGTAGCTGCAAAGCGGCTGGGTCATGTCGTCACTTAAGTCCAGCTTTTCGGGGGCCACGATGGAGTTCTCCTCTCCTGCCAAATAGCGCCCAAATCCTTCCATTGACATCTGGTCTGGAGATCGGAGGGACGGCAAAGAAGCAAAACAGCAACGGCAGGTTTGCAGAAGTTGGCGAGAGGCAGGTTGCCGTAGGGTTCGAGGGGGCTGGCATCCATGGCCGCCACACACCCTGTTTGCACCCACGTTGTAACCTCCATGGATATTCCCTCCCCTCAACCCCGCCGGTCTCCCAGCCAAAGAACCGGAGAAAAGAGGGCTCACCACGCTGCTGGAACTGTTGGTTGGGCTCGTACTTGTCGATCAGTTGGCGCACCTGCGCCCGCGTCAGTGGGGGGTACAGGATCTCGTTGAGACGTGGGTCCCTTTGCTTCTGGTTGATGAAGTCCATCAGCTGGTCCAGGCTGAGGTAGGGCTTCCCCTTGGCCCCGCTGCTCTCCAAAGGGGGGGGGGGGGGGGGGAAAGAAGAGGCCAAAGGATGAGTCCGGATCCGATCTGTCCAAAAGTTTAAGGCAGGGAAGGTCTGCCCCAACCTCACAACCAGCAGACAGACCCACGTGACCGGCCTGCCACCCAGAACGGGGCTTTTTCCAGGGTGGCACCCGACTTCTCTTTGGCGAGAGATCCTGTTACGTTAGAATTAGCAAGGCGTAAAAAATTATCAAGGAAAAGACACATGTTGGTTTACCTTTTCTGCTGTCTGTTTGTTAGTATTACACTGCCTAGTTGTCTTTGGCATGCTGTATTGTGTATGTTTGTAGTTTGTGACTTTAGATAATAATAATATTATAAGAATCTTGAACTGCACGTGTGGAAGGAATTCTGAGGATCATTGAGTCCAAGCCGTGTTAAGGAGTCCCAGCGGGGGAATCGAACACCCAACCTCGGGCTCAGCAATCGGAGACCTAAGCCACTTAGCTATCCCCACCATTCTGTTTGTGGGTTCATTGTGCATCACCGGATTCCCTGGGGAAGGCAATCGGGCTGGGAAAGGGGGAAGGCAGCAGGAAAAGAGGAAGACCGAATACGAGATGGACCGACTCCCTCAAAGAGGCCACGGACTTGAATCTGTAAAAGCTGAGCTGAGGAAAGGGCATTTTAAAGAGCGCCACCTGATGGCACATTACAGCAACAACTGCCGCAGCAACAGGTAGAACGTCAGTTATGCTGTCCTGTGAAAAAGGTCACTGGCAGAGTTTTAAAAAAATAGTAACAATAATAATACACCGTTCTGCTTTTGACTGTCCTCAAGCCACATTTCAATTGCTTGCGTGAATGAAGTGGAACTCTGCGTTGACCCAGGAAGCTCAAGAAGTGATCTCTGACAACTTATTTCGTCATTCTCTTCCATTCCTCCTCTCACGGGTGTGTGTGTGTGTGATTAATATGCACTTTATTAAAGTTATGAATAACTTTATTATGCCCTGAATGCTTTTCTGAAGCAGAAGAGCAGTGCATAAATATGCATATACAGTGGTGCCTCGCTTAACGAGCGGACGTTTAATGATGAATCCGCATAGTGACCTGTTTTTTTCAGATTGCTAATGCGATCGCATTGCGATGTTTTCAATGGCAAAACATCGCATTGCGATGATCGGTAAGCGTTTCGCCTACCGATCTTCGCATTGTGATTTTTTTTAAACAGCTGATCGGCAGTTCCAAAATGGCCGCCAGACGCCCAAAATGGCCGCTGCAACCATTTTCGCGCCCTGCCCTCGCTTACCGAGGGCACGAAAATGGCGGCGCTATGGAGGAACTTTGCTGAACGGTGAGTTTGGGGCCCCACAGGAACACATTGAACGAAGTTTAATGCGTTCTTATGGTTTTTTTTTGATCCGTTTAGCTATGTTTTTGCATAGCGACGATTAATCCGGAATGGATTAACGTCGCTATGCGGGGCACCACTGTATATTTAAAGTGTTCTTTGTATAGCTGTCCTGAACATTTATCTCAGGCCTTTGCGGACAGATTGGGCATCACTGGTTTGTTAATGGGATGAGAAGTTTGGACTTCAGGCCACATGTTCATAGAATCCTAGAATAACAGAGCTGGAAGGGGCCTCTAAGGCCATCCGGTCCAACCCCCTTCTCAAGGCAGGAATACAAAACAAAGCAGATTTGACAGAGGATTGTCCAGTTTTCTCTTGAATGCTTCCAGTGCTGGAGCCCTCACTACAGTACCTCCTGAACTAATCACTTCCATTTTTGTGCTACTCTTAACATCTAAGAAGTTCTTCCTGCTTTGGAAATCCTACAAAAATACGCCAAGTGGGACGACGGACCAGAGGTGGTTTCTCCCTTCAGCGAGGTCGGCCAGTCGATCATTTATTGAAGAAGACTTCAGACCATTTCAAATCCAAGTTCAGCAGGTGCAAACGGGTGCGATACAAATAACAGCCAACCCTTGACTCACAAAGGGTTAAAATTATAAAAATACTAACGTTGTGTATACAATGGAGTTAAGCTAATTAGTCATAATAAAATAAACTTCTGCCCTTCCTGTAAAACCCAGCTAGAGGCCAAAACATGACATGGCTCGTTTAAACAAAGCCTTTTTTCTAGTCTCTTCCCACCCCGAGAGCGGATGGCGGATGGAAGAGCGAGCAAGCCTTCCGTGTGTGTCCCAAACCGCTCGGACTCTCGCAATAAGGCGTTCATCTTGTTCTCAACCTCCCACCCGCTCTCTCCTATTATTCTCATGGAAAGGAGCGACTCACATCTCCAGCAAGATCTTGTCGATGTCTGGGCGAAGGCAGAGCTTGTTCAGGAAGCGTTCGAAAATCTCCAGGGTGAACTCTTCAGGTTTGATCGACTCGCTCTGCGTGTGTTTTTTTTGGGGGGGGGGAAGAAAGGGAATGTAGAGAAGGAAGAAATGAATACCATCAGCCACTCGTGTTGGAAAAGGTCACGGCAGTTCCAACAAACGCACGTGCGATGAGAAGTAAAAGGGGCAATCCGGATTCGAGGAGCGAATTTGGCGTTCTGCAAGAGGCGATTTCGAGAAGGTTTCTCCGAATCACCCGTCTGGACCTGTCTGGACCGCGGGTGCTGTAGGACAGGGGTGGGCACCGATGGAAAACCCGTGGGCTTCACACCCATGCACCCCATTTTACTTACACAGACCCACAATCACGCACGCACACAGAGGAACCAGGTCAGCAAGACAATCCTGAAGAAACCATCATATAACCGCATGAAACAAGGATGCTGAGCTAAATCAGCCCTTGATATCTTGAACTTGGAACGGGGAAGGGACCCTGTGCCTCAAAGATGCTCAGGGGGAGAATCGAACTCTCAACCTCGGGCTCCACAGCCAGAGACCTCAAGCCCTGACCTATCCACCAGTTCTGTCTGTGACTGACTCGTGAGCCTTTCAGCAGAATATTACACCCGAACTCTCTCTGGAAGCAAAAATGTTGACACTGAGGCTGTCCTCCTTTGAGAAAGGTCAGGGGAGGAAGTGAAAAAAAAATAAGTACGATAATAATGATGGCAAATTGAGAATGATCCAGTACCTTGCTTTTTCTGTTCTTCTTGGAATTTAGCATTTAATAGGAGAATCACACACACCCTCTGAAGGCTTTTAGAGGCATGTGCATTTTATTTTTTTAATATTTATTTGCTAGAATTTTCTTTTCTGGCTATACAAAGCACCTCAAACAGGGCCTCATACCGCCTTCCCCTTTTCACAGCAGTGCGCAGGGAAAACCGACGGCTAAAACTCTTGCCGTAGAGAAGGAAACCCAGAAAAATTAACAGATCTGAGTGTTTCTCTAGTGCCATGTTGCTTAATCAGACTAGCGGAGGCTATTCGCAAATCTGAAAAAGGAGTTTTTTCCCCCTCCATTCTGTCCCCTGATCCTTTGAAAGTGGGAAGGGCCAACCTTTGAAGCTTTGGAAGAATCAGGATAAGGCCACATATCTGTGGAAACAATACAAATGCAGTTATATCACCTACACCTGTATTTGTATTGCTTCAGAGCTTTGGAGGGCCCATGTGCCCATCCTTGGAAGGCCACATCTGCCTCTGTAAACTCCAGTGGGGTTATTTTAATAAAAAGGTTATTTTAAACTGAAAGAGCCCCCTTGCGCCCTCTAGTGGCAAATTAAAAAAATTAAAAAAATTAAACACAGTTTTGTGAGTTTGGGTATCGCCAGGCGGCTCACAACATGGCACAATTACTCCTCCACCCACTGCATCACAGGTACCCCCATACAGAGAAACCAATCTTCGGGTCGGTGATAAAGTCTGGGGCAAGTGGTGTGAGACAGGAAGTCCCAGCTGGGCTCAACAAGCTGGAAAGATTGTGGGCCAAGGATGAATCATGGCGAGACTCAATGAGTGGGAGAGAAAGTGGGCAACGCGGGAAGGGTGGGTGGGACATACCCTGTTAAAATTCAGGCCGCAGGATTCCAGAGCCGTCTCCACTCTTTTTTTGTCGGCCGAGAACATTTTGAGGATGCTGCCGGTGAGGGCAAAGAAGAGAGACAGGAAACCTCTGGGTCACATTCAAAGCCATCTAGTCTTCCCCAGACTACCATTCCCATCATCCCCCACCAGCGTAGCTGTTGGGACGGGGGGGGAACAATCCTGCCCGGGGTCCCATTTGCCCCTACGTGGCTCCCAAAGTTTTGCTTGCCAGGTACATGTGCCCCCCCCAAAAAAGGAAGACCTCTCTGTTACTCACCTGCAAGCATCCTGGCGTGTATCGTCAGGCAAGAGGCTAGAGCTGTTTGAGGAGCCCGTGTAATCCAAGCCCTCCCACACACACTGCATTGCTGCTTCAAATGGGCAAGGTCACTGGAGCAACAAGACGCCTTGCCACGTCTACCGAGGAAATCTCTGACGCTCATTCAAAAGCTGACACCCCTACTGTGTTTCCCCGAAAATAAGGCAGGTCTAATCCAAGCCCTCCCCCACACACCGCATTGCTGCTTCAAATGAGCAAGGTTGCTGGAGCAACAAGACGCCTCGCCACGTCTACCCAGGAAAGCTCTGACACTCATTCAACAGCTGACACCCCTTTCGCAACTGGTGCTACCGTGTTTCCCCGAAAATAAGGCAGGGTCTTATATTAATTTTTGCTCCAAAAAACACATTAGGGCTTATTTTCAGGGGATGTTTATTTTTTTCATACATAACCATCTATATTTTATTCAAATACACTCATATCATCTTCTGGTTGGTGCACAAGGGTGGAGGACGGGGTTTCACTAAACTGGGGCTTATTTTTGGGGTAGGGCTTATTTTCAGGGAAACAGGGTATCTTGAACCCAGAGAAGAAAACTGGGGGAAGGAGGGGAAAAAACACAAGAAGCTCAGGTAGGTGGGGAAAGAGGATCTTACTTCTTGACTGGGATCCTTCCATCTTGATTGACCTGGAGTTTGAGCCGGATGTAGCTGTGAGGATAAAACCGAAAGTTAATTATGGGGCAGTTTGCTATTTTGACCTGGACACCTCAACTGCATTCGGTTGCAACTCAACAGTGCCCCCTAGGGGCGCTGAGGCTTTACACCCCTGCAGGAAAGCCTGAACTGGCCTATATCCTAAGCTTTGTTTCTGAGTTAAATCTCGTCCCCCAACAAGCTGCAATTGGCTCTCTCTTTCTTCCCTACTTACTGAACGCAGGAAAGTCACTCACGCTTTTTGTAAGAAAGTGTTCCGTGAAGCATTCTGAGCCAGGATGTTTGTGGCCAGTTTGAACAATTCCTCGGCCCACAGCTGGAAAAGAGAGAAGGAAGAAGAAAAGGATGATCAGCTTTTCCCCTTTGGTTATCTCCACCCCATCCATGCTCTGCAACCGTCTCCTTAAATTCTGATCTTCCACCATGCAGTCAAATGTGGCTCCCGTTTGAGAGAGGAGCACAGAGATGGAAATAAGAAGCTTGGAGCTGTTTTTATTAACTGGAGGAGGAAGAAAATATGACTCAGACAGAGATCCGAAAGAAAAAAGAATCAAGGAAGTAAATACATGTACAGTGGTGCCTCGCTTAACAATTTTAATTGGTTCAAAAAAAAACATTGCTACGTATGTGAAAACATCGTTAAGCGAAACACCATTTCCCATAGAGATGCATTGAAAACCGGATAATCTGTTCCAATTGGAACAGATTACCATCCTTAAGCGAAAATCCCCATAGGAATGAAGCTCGGAGCTGTTTTTATTAAAGAAAATATGACTCAGACAGAGGTCCGAAATAAAAAAGAATCAAGGAAATAAATACATGTATTTGCTTTCCATTCCACACTGCAAGCTTTTGGAATTACCTTCCCATTCCACACTGCAAGCTTTTGGAATTACTCAATGAAATGGAAACCTAAATAGGTAGATCGGGAAGGACAAAAGAAAGGGGCATAAAACCCTCGTTATTCAGCAGCAGCTTTTGGTGGTGGGGGAGACATCCAATAAAAAGGAAAGAAGAATTAAAACAGAGCATAGGGACACAGAAAGTTGTCCATCAGCCTTAGTATTGCCAGTTTTGATAGACAGCGGCTTCAACAACATTCTTTCCTCTTGCCACCTGGAAATCCCAGGGATTTTTTGGCTGGTTACTCAGCCCAAGATTACCTAGACCTGATCCTGGTTAATTTCGAAAATCAGACAAAACCCGTGTGTAGAGAGAGAGAGAGAGGTATGGTAGGTTCAAGGTGCGACACTGGTGTAGCATCAGATGCAGGGAAACGAAGGTGGGAAAGCCCCCAACTGCACAAAAGTTATTCTCTTTTTTTGGAACCTAGCATATTTTGAATATAAAACCTCCTTCTAGCATAGAAGCAATTCCTAAAGAATATTATAAAAAAGTGATATATCATTCCCTTTTTAATAATAATAATAATTTATTGTCTAGGGACACAGAAAGTTGTCCATCAGCCTTAGTATTGCCAGTTTTGATAGACAGCGGCTTCAACAACATTCTTTCCTCTTGCCACCTGGAAATCCCAGGGATTTTTTGGCTGGTTACTCAGCCCAAGATTACCTAGACCTGATCCTGGTTAATTTCGAAAATCAGACAAAACCCGTGTGTAGAGAGAGAGAGAGAGGTATGGTAGGTTCAAGGTGCGACACTGGTGTAGCATCAGATGCAGGGAAACGAAGGTGGGAAAGCCCCCAACTGCACAAAAGTTATTCTCTTTTTTTGGAACCTAGCATATTTTGAATATAAAACCTCCTTCTAGCATAGAAGCAATTCCTAAAGAATATTATAAAAAAGTGATATATCATTCCCTTTTTAATAATAATAATAATTTATTGTCATTGTAAGTATATACACATACAACGAAATTCTGGGGTCATCTTGGGACTGTGCAGCTTGCCCAAGGCCACCCAGGCTGGCTCTCCTCCCAGGTGGCCCAGTGGGGGAATCAAACTCCCATGTTTTTTATTAAAAACTAACCATTTAATTAACAGACTAATTAAGGATAACATAATGGATTACATTCTACCCTTCCCAGAATTAAATTCTACCCAGCGTTAACAACAACAAATTAATTTTCCCATTTCTAACAATCAACATTTACAAATGAGTTTTTAAAACCTATTAGTCATAGCCATTTCAACATTTTCAAGTCTCCAACTTTGGCGCAATGATAGAAATATGGCTTTTTTGGGGGGGAGGGGGGCTGGCTCTGTTTGCTATCTTCCACGAAGAGGGAGACTGGCATTTACTAGAAAGGCTAGCGATGGGCAACTGGTGTAAGCCGCAAGACTACAACACCCATGATCCACCACCTAGGGCTGCTGGAAGCTGTAGACCAAGCACACCCGGAGGGCTACAAGCAGCCCACCCTTCAAGGCGATCTAGATTTGCCGACGGCTCATAGGAATGCCCTATCTCAAGAAGAAAACTTAAGATTATTTTTCCCCCTTTCCTGAACAATTCGGTTTTTTATTTTCTACACAGCATTGGTTTTAAAAACCAGGACAAATGAATACAGGTCCTGACAGAACCACAGGAATAGCAGCGGGGTGGGGTGGGGGAAATCACACACAGAGAGACACAAATGCCCACAAAAGAAACCTCACAGTCATCTATCTCTTGAAAACCAGTGACAAAAGCTGTAAATTAAGGCCAATTATAGACTTAGAATGATTAAGAGACAGCACGGCAAGCTCACCAGGGAAATAAGGAAAAACTGGTGAAGGGCATTAACAGGGATAAGATTGCTTTGCGCGGTGCAATCACAAGCCCATCAAGAGATCTGGCGCGTCCCGATAAATGGACTCCACGGAATCGGGAAGACATTTCGGACCGCTCTAGATCAAGGTGGGAGACTTGGACTTCCAGATGTTGGTGGAAATACAATTCCCATGATCTCTTACTACGGGGCTAACAGAAGTCGCTGCCTTCAATGTTTCGAAGGGCCCATGTTCTCCCATCCATCCATACTCTGTGGTCCCCAACCTTGGGCCTCCAGATGTTCCTGGACTTCAACTCCCAGAAATCCTGGCCAGAAGAGGTGGTGGTGAAGGCTCCTGGGAGTTGTAGTCCAGGAAAATCTGGGGGCCCAAGGTTGGGGGCCTATAAGGATCCAATGGGAGAAAGACGGGTGCCGGCTATTTTCCAAAGAACCCATTTAAAATGAGACAGTGAAACCAGGCAGGATCTTGCATAGATTTCTACCTCTCTGTCCCACTGATGGAGCTAGGTGGAAAACAGACCCTGATCAATGGGTAGACTCCCAACTCTCAGAATTCCCTGAGAATTGGTTGGGGGCCTATAAGGATCCAATGGGAGAAAGACGGGTGCCGGCTATTTTCCAAAGAACCCATTTAAAATGAGACAGTGAAACCAGGCAGGATCTTGCATAGATTTCTACCTCTCTGTCCCACTGATGGAGCTAGGTGGAAAACAGATCCTGATCAACGGCTAGAACTCCCAACTCTCAGAATTCCCTGAGAATTCCTGCCCACAAACCTACAGATACCTACATACACCTGCATTTCACTCACCTGGAAAAGGCCCCACCTTCCGGCCTGTCTCGGGGCTACTTTCCATACACCAAAAAGGGAACTGCCTCAAAGGAGCGGCGAACCTTTGACATTCCAGATCTATCGGACTCCAACTCCCAGAATCCCCAGCCTGTGTTGTCAATGAAAAAGGGTTGTGGGAGTTGTAGTCCAATAATCTGGAACGCCAAAGGTTCGCCACCCCTGCTTCTTCGTGGGAGGTTTGCTGCCCACCGGGCTCTGCATAGGGCATTCCCAATGAACTACATTTCCCACAAAGACCTAGGTCTCCCAGAAATCACCGGGGCAGTTTCCTTTTTTGTACAGGAAGTGGGCACAAGAGGGCCTGGAAGATAGGCCCTGTCCCAGGCGAGTGAAATGTAGGTGTGTGACTATGGGAAGAAACTGCCAGAGTTTGGAGAATTCTGGGACTTGGAAGTCCAAAACAACAACAGCAAACAACACATATTTAATTTATACTACAGAGTCAAGGCCGTTTGAGTCCACTTTGTCACGGCTCCATCATATGGAATTCTGCAATGTGTAATTGGAGGAGGAACCTATATGTCTATACATGGGAGCTGTCATGCATTCCCCTCAATTTCAGCAATTTTACATTACTTGACAAATTACAGATCCAACACAATTTGGTAGGAAGGAGCACATGCACCCTAAACGGAAGCAATCGGCTATCGCTCTCCAACCAGAAACAGTCATTCATTCATTCATTCATTCATTCATTCATTCATTCATTCATTCATTTCACTCTCTTGAACTCAAAGGATTACAGTCTTTTCTGAAACACAAAGTAAATTTCATGGGCCCAGCCGTATCCTACCCTTACCATTGAAGACAGCTTATATTTAGAGATGAGTACAAATCAGGAAAAGGTTGGGTCATTTTGATTCGCGATTGGTCGAGGTCGACGAACTGCAAATTTTGAATTTACGATTTTTTGACAAATTGATAAAATGATTCATATACATTTTTTTTACTTAAAAACCCTATAAAATGCCCCTCCTCCGGCACCTAGAGACACCAAAATCACCGGTAGAAACTTCTACTGACTCTCCTCTACAATCCCTCTTATACTGGGGTTTTGACATCCAAGTTATATTTCCACAAAGTGGGTTCCCCCTAGGAAAGTATCTGGCTTGGGGAAATCCAATCTTCATCAAACTTTGAAGGATTGCAGGGGACAGTCATAGGAATCGTCCCTGTATTGTTGGTGTCTCCAAACAATAGGCAAACAAATCGAATAACCAAAAATTGCTAACAATTTGTTAATTTGTATTCATCGGGGGCATTGATTTGTACAAATAGGAATCAAATGGGCATTTTTTTGCACAAATTTTGTGATTTGTTTTCTAATTCACGCCCATCTCTACTAAAAATAACCCAACCTTCCACAAACAGTAATACAAGGATATTCTTTCCACTCTGAGAAGTCCCAACGCGATATCGCTTGCTCTCCCAAACCAAAACACGAGTCTAAAGCACAAAGAAGCCAGTTTTAGGATTGGCTTATTCACACAGCAAAACCAAGACGTAAAGCTTATGTTCATCAGCTCCGCTTGGATCTGTGGGGCAGGGAAGGAAGCGGCACATTTCAACAGCCGATCCCCGGATGCAGAAAACTAGCACCTCAGGGAGAAAAGCTCTAAGGAACACTGCATCGTAGACTTGAAGGGGGTAATCTATGGGACCGACGCAAGAGTAGATGGGGTGGGACTGGGTCTTGGGGGAGGAGGAGAGAAGCCAGAGAAACTGAGGCTATGGGTCATAGAGGATTTCCCCCCCACCTTCCTACCTTAGCTGTGTCATCCTGGACAACGGCCATGAAGTTGAGAAAGCTCACGTTGACAATGTCGGGCCCGTGCACGACCGTCAACAGCTTCTCTTCCGGATGTTGCTCCTGCCCCCCGAAGCCAAGAATCTCCCGAATCTTGGGGTCCTGGAAGGGAAAAAAAGGGGGGGAAGCAAAGGAGAAGTTTAACTCAAGTGGGTCAGGTCGGGGCGGACAGCTTCTGCGTATCAAGGCGCCAATTTTCTGCCCTCTAAATGCATTAAAAAGGCAGGGGGAAAGCAAGAAATAAAAACTGAATTAGAGGTGCCTAGAAATCTACTTACCATTTTGGGAAAAATAATACCTGCTTTGGAATGTTCTAAGGTGCAAGGAGATGTGTTTAAAACATCTAGGGATGCTCCAGGACATTTTCCAGAGCTGCTATTGACTTC